AAATAAGCCGAACCAAATTATCACAAACTCAAATTAGTCTCAGATTGATGCTTACTTGAGATTAGTTCAAAATAACGCTCGCATATATTCGTGCTTTATTTTTCAGTCAAATCTGTAGGATAGTCACCAGTCATAGAAGTATTTATTCAGTCCGGTTTCAGGGTGATATCCCAAGCCAGGTTGCTGTTCAAGAAATAATAGATCAAGTGGACGACAGTGTTGATCAGGATGCGCAGAAGACGACAAAAAAACGGAAATATTTTATTGGAAGCGAACATATTGGAGTACCACGAATTAATACTGAAATTGAAACATTCATGAAAGATGGAATGAGTTAGTTTTTTTTATAACTTGTTTTCTCCTTACTGATATGTTATGTTCTCAAAATTTTATTCAACTAATATCAGTTTAGAAATGAAAATGGTCGATATCATGAGGCTTTTTCAGTCATCATGCACTTTGATTCATTTCACATATGTACCCATTGTCGTTTTAGTTATAGTTAGACATAATTTATGTTCACGTATTGATTACGAAAAATGTATGTCTGAATTTCAGTTGAGGACTGGGACATGTTCGAAAAGATGGTCGATTATGCGTATGCAAATGTGTTTTTTGCCGAAAGCAAGTACCAACCAGTGTTATTCTCAGAGTGTGCTGTAGGTTTGATTGTTCTCTTGGATGCGTTCGTTGCTCACCTTTCTGTTTGTTCGCTTAAAAAATTCGCATCGTATGTCACTTGCTAATTCATCAATTTCTGTTTTACGTTTGTGTTAGACGGAGTTCACCATTAAGAACTGTTACAGTGGAACGCAAAACAAAAACGTGAAAAGTTGATGGAGTTGATGTTCGAAAAGTACAATGTACCGGCATTCTTCCTAGTCAAAAACGCCGTCCTTGCTTGGTTTGTTTTTGCTTTTCCTTCTTCAAATTTCTCTTGTCTTCTCCCAATGGTTTACTTGCAATGCCATTATTCATGTTGTCATTCTTGCAATTCACTTATTCATACTGTCGTATCTTTTGAAGCATTAATCATCTTACTCAATTCTGTTGCACTCTTCAATTCAGCACACTCATTTATTACATTCTTGAGTCAGTTCAAAATGAATTCAACATAGCAAAGAGATCATTTGTCAAGAAGATAATAGTTATTGCTGCGCCAATCAAGCCGAATATTGCGAAGCCGTACTGCTCGAGCATATATCCGGCTAAAGCTGGCCCGAACGTTCGTACCAGTGAATTAACCGCTTGTGATGTGCCCAATATCAGTGCCTCGAAATAATCATATCGATAATTCGTTTTATTTCAATGGGTATCGACACCGTTATGTGCATTTGAAAGCTGTGTGAAAATCATCAATCGAACACCTTTTTGAAAAATATTTGGAAATAATCTTGTCAATTGTAAGTAATCGTTTTGGTGGTATAGTTTACCTGTT